GTATAGGCTTTTTGGCACTTGTGGTTGAGTTGAGACATCAAAGTTGTGCGATTTTTGTGAAAACTGATAAAAATGAGTTTTGGTGTCTAACTTTTTATAGAAAAAGAATTTAAGTGTAAAACTAATGCCATTAGCTAAAGTTAGGAGAAAGCTCCGTAAAGACACTGAAACCACCTTAATCAAAAGTCGAACAGAGATTTGGGACGTGTCAGAAGTTTGCTCCTTGTGTTGTCAAATGACAGCAACGGATACTGTCATTTTCATGCAATGTGCCACGGTATATGACACAGAAAAGGGTGAGCTATGACACATATGTCACAAGTCATGATGCATGCCACGTTTTCTACACAAAATTCAATTTTAAGTCTTAAAACTCAATGTTTTAGGTCTCATTTGTTTTCCAAGCTTCCGCATCATTTTCAAACTCTAATTTGAGCACAATAAGTGTTGTTTGAGATTTGAAATTGAACTTTGGGATTCCATTACAAATGATTTGAGAATTATTCACTTTTAGAATTTTACAATTTCAGTAATCCTTTAAGGATTAATCCCTTGATTACCTTAATTTTAAAGTTTAATATAGTTTAGTAAGGGAGACCTTACAAGATGCTTAGAGACAGATCATAAGACCAGAATACTAAAGCATCTTTATGAAACTACAGGGCCTTCACTGGATCAAATGGAACTCCAAAAATGATTTGGGCTGCGATACTTCTAAGAAGGTACCTTGACACGTCACCTTTGCCCACCTCTGTTGAGAACTCTGGATCACTAGATGTACTAACTTATTTAGAGAGAAGGAACACATTGTGAGAGTTGACACAAATAAGTGCACTTGGAAAGCTTTATCTGACACTAGCATGATGAGTAAAATGAATTGACACAAACCACCACACAATAATGTTTACAAATGGTGCCCTCCTGAAAAAGGTTCTATAAGAGTTGATGTGGATGGGTCTGTACATGTAAATGGCATGGCTACATATGGGGGTCACATGACATATGAGAATGGTGTGTGGGTAAAGGGTTTTTGCAGCAAACTTAGAAACTACCATCTAATGTGGCTGAATTAATGGGCATCATCACAGGGCTTGAACTATGCTGGAATCAGGGATTCAAGAAATAGAACTTTTTTCAAACTGTATTGGAGCCATAAATCTCATAACTAGAGGCACCAACACTGATCATCCTTTTCAAAACTTCATCTCCCATGCTATTAGTCTACTTAATAGGAAGTGATCTGTGTTTATTAACTTTGTTTATAAGGATGCTACTAATAGGGGTGTTCAGTCTAAACTTGTCCTGATTGGCCCAGTCTCGTCCCGATCATATCGAGACGGGTCTTGTCCTGGCCTAAAAATAATCGAGACGGGACTTTACTGGACGGGACAGGAAAGGGGTTCAGGATGGGACGAGACATGGGATTACCATCAGGACGTCCCGTCCCGTCTCGAATATTATATATATTATTTTTTATTTTAAATATATTAATTATATTAATATAATTTATACTTATATTAATTATATCAATTATAATTTAATACTTGAAATTCTTATTTAAAACTAAAGTTTTTTTATATTGATAATTTTAATAGCATGGAGTAAATATGGTGATATCTTTCTTTATAATATATTAATTATATTAATATAATTTATTCTTCTATCTATCTATTTAATAACTTTTATTTATAACGTATTTCTTGCTTTATTTTTAGAAGAGTAATTAGCTTAGCACATCTTCACTAAAGTAGAAGAACAATGATTTGATGTTATATTTGACTTGCCTGTTGTTGCTAATTTTATAGGATAAAGATTACTTGTATTTGTTATTATAATGTGTAGTTGTGATTAATATAATTTAATAATTAATTTTAAATTATTATTATTTATGTACTTGTGTTGTTTTGATTTTAAACTTAATAAATTATATGATTTAAAATTTTAATAAACGTTATTATCCAGATCTTTTTTCGATATTATTCCATTTATCGGGACGGCGAGACGTTCCGATCTTGTCCCGGTCCCGTCCCGACTCTTAACGGGACGGGACAGGACAGGACCAAAATTCAGTCCCGATCTTTTTTTGGGGACGGGACGGAGTCCCGATCTATTTTCGGGACGGGACACGGGACGAGGGTATCCTGGTCCCGTCCCGTCCCGTGAACACCCCTAGATAATACTGCGTATTATTTAGCTAGAATAGCTCATTTTACTGATGATTCTTTTTGCATCTTTGATCATCTACCACATTTGCCTTTGGAAGGAGGCTAACGATGATTAATTTTAGGTTATCCTTGTAGCCTGCTAGTTGTTATTTCTGTATTTCTGTTTATGAATGGAATTTAATTTTCACCCAAAAAAAGAATGAAGAAGAATGAGTTTAGTGTTATTGTAAGTGATTTTCATGTTAGGTTCTAAGAATTCTAATTTGTCTCAATGTGAGAGAAAACACTCATGAGAGATTGACAGCTAAGAATATGAGAACTAAAAACTGTTTTAGATTTGATTTTAAGAAAATGACAATTAAGGATCCTTCAAGAATATTAATCTCAATTAAGGACCATAACATTTTGAAATTCCAGTTAAGGACCATGGTCCTTAAATGGGATAAAAAAATGTAGCTTGTGAGGTAAGATTCACTAACGTTACTTGGGAATTCACTAACTTAACTTGAAAAAATTGCTAACGTATATTATAAAAACATAAAACTCCACTTAAAAATCAATTGTTTAACAAAAAATGCCACTTGAAAATTCACCAACTTGACTTGAAAAAATTTCTATTGCATATTGTGAAAACATGAAACCCTACTTAATTGATTGTTTAACAAAAAATCTCAATTTGAACAAGTCACTTTTTGTTAAACAATCAATTTTCAAGTGAGGTTTTATTTTCACAATATGCATTAAAAATTTTTTCTAGTCTGGTTAGTGAATTCTCAAGTGGCGCTTTTTGTTAAACAATCGATTTCTAAATGAAGTTTTATGTTTTCACAATATATATTAAAAAAATTTTCAAGTCGAGTTAGTGAATTTTTAAGTTGTGCTTTTTATTAAACAATTGATTTTCAAGTGGAGTTTTCTATTTTCACAATATACATTAGCAATTTTCTCAAATTAGGTTAATAAATTTTCAAGTGACGCTAGTGAATTCCATTCCACAAACTATATTTTTTTTATCTCAATTAAAGACTATAATCCTTAATTGAAATTTTAAAATATTATAATCCTTAATTATAGTTAATGTTTTTATAAAATTCTTAATTATTATTTTTTTAATTTTCAAAGCACACAGATTTGATTCCTTGGGCATTAGAGAAGTCAGCTTGCAACATCTTGTCAAAGCATCATAATTGACTGTTGACATTTCTTTGGGTTAATGTGCACTGTACCATTTTAAAAAATTCAGGCCAATGACAATTAAGGATTTGATTTTGGAAAATGATAATTAAGAATCCTTTAAGAATATTAATCTCAATTAAAAACCATAACATTTTAAAATTTCAGTTAAGGACCATGGTCCTTAAACGAGATAAAAAAATGTAGCTTGTGAAGTAGGATTCACTAACATTACTTGAGAATTCACTAACCTAACTTGAAAAAATTGCTAACGTATATTATGAAAACATGAAACTTCACTTAAAAATCGATTGTTTAACAAAAAAATGTCACTTGAAAATTCACCAACTTGACTTGAAAAAATTTTTATTGTATATTGTGAAAACATGAAACCCTACTTAATTGATTGTTTAACAAAAAATCTCAATTTAAACAAGTTACTTTTTGTTAAATAATCGATTTCTAAGTGAGGTTTTATTTTCACAATATGCATTAAAAATTTTTTCTAGTCTGATTAGTGAATTCTCAAGTGGTACTTTTTGTTAAACAATCGATTTCTAAATGAAGTTTCATGTTTTCACAATATATATTAAAAAAATTTTCAAATCGAGTTAGTGAATTTTTAAGTTGTGCTTTTTATTAAACAATCGATTTTCAAGTGGAGTTTTCTATTTTCACAATATACATTAGCAATTTTCTCAAGTTAAGTTAATAAATTTTCAAGTGATGTTAGTGAATTCCATTCCACAAATTATATTTTTTTATCTCAATTAAAAACCATAATTCTTAATTAAAATTTTAAAATATTATAATCCTTAATTATAGTTAATGTTTTAGAAAATTCTTAATTATTATTTTTTTTCATTTTCAAAGCACACAGATTTGATTCCTTGGGCATCAGAGAAGTCAGCTTGCAACATCTTGTCAAAGCATCATAACTGACTGTTGACATTTCTTTGGGATAATGTACACTGTACCATTTTAAAAAATTCAGGCCAAATTGTTTCTTAAAAAAAAAAAAACGGATATCTCAAGCTCCTCTTCAGAAAGTTCTGGAAATTTGCCTTTTAATCCATTTTTTAATATAAAGCAAATTATATTAAAATAAGAAAATGAAATATAAATATATATAAAATTAAAAATTAAATGTCCAGTGTTAGAAGTCCGAAATTAAACAAGAAATAGAAAGGACAAAGGGAAGAAGGTCCCGATGTTCTCATCTTCTCGTTGATGATTGAATGGGAGGTGGTCAGTAATTAGTTGGAACAAGAATTTTGGTTTCTAAATGGTACAGAGGAGAACTCATTTTCAGTTGAGAAAATCTTGATGAGCAGACCAATCACTGAGGGCAATTATATTTGCCTTGCGCTGGCGCGAGATGATGATTTGCAGAGAATTTCAGCATTTAACATTGAGACATGTGTCAATGAAGAATTTGATGTATTTGCTACGTGGCAGCTAATGTCACTCGTCAAATTTTAGAATTTTATTATAATATAATAAATTTATAATTTAATTTTTAAATTTTAATATAATTAAAAAATAAATAAATATTAAAATTTAGAATATAAATTAAAAATCAAATTTAGAGTTTAATACTTAAAATTTACGTTGAATTAATTGGTATATGTCATTCTCTCTTTTCCTTTTTCATATATTCCCTCGCAATTCCCTGAGCTGCTCGAAGTTCGAACCTTACCTCTCCGCCATGATAAGCCTTGAGTGTAGCAAAGGCCCATCTCCTTCATCATCGTGGTGCTCTCGTTTCTGGTCCTCTGCTGTCAGAGCCAAAAGATTATCCGTTACGGCTGAGAAAGTTCGCCGCGATAATTCGAGCGGCGACCTTTGCCGGCGACTTGGTCTGATTGACCTCCTCCTTATCGGAATTGGCGCCTCTATTGGCTCCGGTGTATTCGTCGTCACGGGAACCGTGGCCCGAGATGCTGGACCCGGTATGTCTCAAGTCTCGTGTAATTTGTTGCCGGCATTTTTTATGGGTTCGATCATCTTCGTCCGTCCGTCCTTTCCTTTTCATCCCCCCCCGGGTTACTGGAGTTTTGGATTTCTACATGAAGAGAAGGAATATTTTAAAATTTTTTAGGACATTTACGTGTAGGGGATGAAAATTAAGATGGTTGAAAATGGGTTGTTAACTTGCTATCCTTATTTTATGCTTCATTGTTCAAAGAATAGAAGAGGATGGCATGAAAATCGAGTTAATTACAGTTTGCAAATTCAATCAAAACTGCTATTGGGGCATTGTTGGGAAAAAAAAAAAAAGGAAAATCTCATTATAACTTACAACCTACAGTGATGTTCCACTTTGAGACAGAACACAAATATATATTCTTATGTTGTTGATTAAAGCCCTCACTGCCAGTACATACGCCTTCTGGTAGTTACTGTTGGCTAATTACTACTTTAGGCAATTGTCTTCACTTCATTTGGGTATTCTATTATAATTATTAGGAGCAATTGATTGTTACTCAAACCAAATCCACACACTAAATTTATCATTCCACATGACAACTTTATGTCCATAATCAAGGAAAGAAATGAACACAAGCATTCTCCGCCACAATCCTCCTCAAAGAATCTTCATCCCTTTGAGCAGCTGTCCATTGCCATCTTCTATAAGCAGTGGCATCTGTCACACTTTCCATTTGTTGCCTCTCTTCCCCTTGCTCTCTTTCTCTCCCACCTGTGCACTCAACTCAGCATGCCTTTGAACTGATTGCTAGAGAAAGGTAGGCAGTACAACTGGTTTCCTTTCCCTCTTGTAAAGTTCTCATGTTCTACATTGAATAAAACTTGAGGAAAAGAGCTGGATCTTTTCTTATAAATAGTGCGGTGTTTCAGCATATGAGGATAGTCTCTGGAGTATAATAAGGTCCATGGTTCAGAGTTTAATTGCTCAGAACTAGTTAACTTGTTGGCTAGTTCTGTTTTTGCTAGTTTTTGACTAGTCATTTTCTTATAAGGTCATAGATTTGTTAGTGGAATGGGTGGGTCCAATCTGGTTTTATAAACATTGGTAAATACTTACATCTACCACGTGAGCTTATCTGTTCTGAACTTTTCTTCTCCTCAAATGACTATTATCATCCTTCTTTTGTTAGAAACATGGACTGGCATAGGAAATTCTTAAATACAATTTGTGCGTTGCATTTTTTTTTCCCGTCTTTCATACGTTTAATGTTAAGCAAATAATAAATCATTGCTTTGAGCTGGATTAAAAATGAGGTCATGAGCTAAAGTGGGTCCCTTGCATTTGCATAGCTTGTAAACAGTATGTCTTCCTACAAGTTTTGGGGATATATTGGTGATTGGTAATAAATGTTGGTGAAAAGCTCATTGTGCGCATATTGTTCTGAATGCAGTGGCTTATTCATGGTGTTCTGCTTTAATGCAGGAGTGGTGATAAGTTTTATGCTTGCTGGAGTAACATGTGTTATGAATGCACTTTGTTATGCTGAGCTAGCTTCTCGATTTCCTGCTGTTGTCGGTGGGGCATACCTATATGCCTATACAGCTTTTAATGAGCTCACTGCTTTTCTAGTTTTTGCACAATTAATGCTGGACTATCATATTGGGGCAGCTAGCATAGCAAGAAGCCTTGCAAGTTATGTAGCAACGATCTTAGAGCTATCTCCTCTTCTTAGAGGCAACATTCCAAAATGGATTGGACATGGTGAAGATATAGGGGGAGTTCTATCCATCAACCTCTTAGCTCCAGTTCTCTTGATACTTCTTACTTTGATTCTTTGTTGGGGCATTGAAGAATCCTCAGCCGTAAATTCATTTATGACTGTGACGAAGGTTAGTTTTCTCCATTTACCACTTGACACCACCTAATATCAAGCACAGCATTAGTTCTGGGATTAATAAGAAAAAAAAAAATCACTTAACTGTTGCAGTTACTCATTGTCATTTTGGTCATTTTTGCTGGAGCATTTGAGGTTGATGTTTCTAATTGGTCCCCTTTTGCTCCAAATGGTATAAAAGGCATATTTACAGGAGCTACTGTTGTATTCTTTGCATATGTTGGATTTGATGCAGTTGCCAATTCTGCTGAAGAATCTAAGAGACCGCAGGTACTTTTGAGATTGCTCCTATAGTCCTATTTATTCTGAATAAAAGGCTGGATGCCATATTTATTTTTTGATTTATGCACCATTCTTGGCCAGTTAGTTTATCCTTGTTAACCATTTGTTCCCTTTTATCTTATACATGACATTTAAGAGGGATTTGCCAATAGGCATCATCGGAAGCCTTATAGTATGCATAGCTTTGTACTGTGGAGTTTGCATAGTGATTACTGGAATGGTTCCGTACAAGGTTCTTGGGGAAGATGCTCCTTTGGCTGAAGCTTTCACATCCACAGGTTTAAAATATGTTTCAATTCTGATCAGCATAGGTGCTGCTGCTGGACTTACAACAACGCTCCTTGTTGGTCTTTATGTTCAGGTGAATGACCTCGAAATTTGATATAATTGAATTATATGCCTTATTCATGAAGTATTTGATGGGATATTTCTCATTAGCAGTCTCGGTTGTATCTTGGGCTTGGCAGGGATAGATTACTGCCTTCCCTATTTGCTAAAGTGGACCCTACATGCCACACTCCTATTCATTCTCAGGTCTGGGTTGGAATTGTTGCCAGTGTTTTGGCTGGGCTATTGAATGTCCATGCACTCTCACACGTTCTTTCTGTTGGTACACTGGTAAGATTCTGTTTCTCATTTGGTTGTCTCAGCAAACATATTTATCCTGTCAGGCTTCCAATGTCTATGACTAGAGAAATGAGGGCGTATATGTGGATGATTGACTATTGAGCGTATCTCTGTAATATTTGTTGGAAATAAGCAATATTTGTGTCTATTGAAAGCTATACCTTGATACCTGTCTGGTGTTTTTAAATGGATCTTACAATATTTCCACTTATTTCAGACAGGCTATTCAATTGTCTCAGCATGTGTAATTGTGCTTCGTTGGAGGGATGAAACGGCTAGTCAAGTTTCATCTTTGGCTTGGCGGGAAGGTGTTATTTGCCTCATTGCTGTTGCCCTTAGTGGATTTGGTACTGGGCTCTTCTTTCGCTATGATGCTCCACTTAGTGTTTTTCTTCTAGCTATAGTTACCGCAACAGCTGCTTCTGCTGCTCTTAACTTCCGCCAGGTGATTATTATAAAATACGTTTTACTGGTTGCTTATTGCTGGGTTTATCAATATGCTTATCAAAGAGAAAACTGAATTAACATTAGCTCTGGAGTTGTATTATACAAAAAACAACGCCCCTTTGGGTTCTGGGTATTGAGCAAGGTATTAAATAATTGAATTTTATGATGATGATAATTTATGGTTTATCTCTACCTCTAATATCCTGATTCTCTAGAGCGTACAAGGCCTGGACACAGATGTACACATTACCAAAAGGGCGAGTGAGGATGGACTTGGACTTTTAAGGTTGTAGCATTTTCCTAGACAAGGAATATTAGGTTTCAAGTCAAGTCCAAAATCACATGGCATCTATCGTGCTAACAATGATTTCTTCTAGTCTAATTGTAACTATTTTTCTTTTTTTCTTTTTTTTTTTTTTGGTTTGAAGGGGCTTGGAGATTTACGATTCTAGTTTGGCTTAAATAAATTGCTTTATTACTGCAAAAGTTTCATTTTGGCTCGTCAGGTTTAATTGAGTCAATGATAATCTTCAACATTGAGAAATTTTGCAATGTCCTTTAGTTGTAATTCTGATTTTATGATGACAAACATGACGAAGCTGCGATCAATTTGCATATATGGGTTTGCTAAATGACAAATAATCAAGTGACGTTACAAGATTTTATTCAAATTTGTGAGGAAAGGTCTGCAAATGGTGACCACATGCATATCTAAAGCGTGATTCCACTTGATTACTTATCATTCGGTGATTCCACAGACCAAATTGTGTCTAAGTGAGTAAAACATCATGTTTTGTTATCATAAGAATAAAATTAAGACGACATTGACTCGATCAAAACTGAAGCACCAAAAATTAATTTAAGCCTTCTTGTTTCTATTGTTGTTGGTGCGCTTTGTCATAGTGAAAGATGCAGAGTAACCTAAAATGGACTGTTCTTTTGCTTTACACTATAATAGGGTTGGGGCAAGAACCTTTTCAGTCATCTTGGTCTCCATAAGTTACTAAAATTAGTGAAAACCATGTTCTTGTTGCATTAAATGTAAATTTCTCACATAATTTCTACATTTTCTCTTTTTCATCCCAGGTTTATGTGATGCCATAGGATTTTCTTGCCCTGGGGTTCCAATTGTGCCGGCTATTAGCATCTTCTTCAACATGTTCTTATTTGCTCAGGTATGCTTGTGAGCTCTCCTTTTTGTAAACATGCTGCGACAATACTTAAGAAGAAGTTAGAAGTTGATAACTTTGTACTTCTCCCGGTCTATAGTATAAAACGATTTCAACTATTTCACTAGAACTGATAAATGATAATTAACTTATTAAATGTCTTAAAATGAAAACATTTTCTAACTTTACTCCTCCTAAAAGTGGGAGCACCGCACCTAAGGCCCAATACATTATGTATTGTTTTTGTAGGCTTAAAAACCCCAAATGCAAATATGTCTTTTCGAGAAAAGTCGCATTTGCTCTAAATGTGTAAGTTTTTCATGTGTATGTACAACACAATGTCCTTAAAGAACATAACAAAGTCTATACATGAACAACACACTATTTGTTTAATATATATAGTCTGTGTGGTTAAATTGAACGATAATGTGGAAGTTTCCCAAGTTTATGTATAACACAATGTCTATAAAAAACATGACATAGTCTATACATAAACAACTCAATGTCCATTTATTATATGTAGTTTATGTGATTAACTTGAATAATAATGTACAAGTTTTTTAAGTGTACATACAACACAATGTCTTTAAAGAACATGACAAGGTTCATAATGAACAACACAATGTTTGTTTATTATACTTAGTTGATATGGTTAAGGGCAAATGCTTCTTTTCATGAAAAAACACATTTGCATTTGGGGCTTCTGGGTTAATAGAAACAATTCAAAATGTATCAGGCCTAAGGTGCAATTTTTCCATTCTGGGAGCCTTAGGTGAGGTTCTCCTATTAAAAACAGAAAGAGAGGTATACAGTATATGATGAGTTATAAAATTAAATTTACAATAAAGGTAAAATTAAAAAATGATAATAAATAGCCCTCCATGTGCTTTATATTAAGAATCAAAGAATTTTTTTAAAAAATATCCTATAATAGGGACCAGAGAGTATATTATACCTGGCAATTGATAACAAGTGGTTCTTTTTGCAGTTACATCATGAAGCGTGGGTAAGATTTGTCCTTCTTAGTGTGGTTATGGTTGGTCTTTACGCGTTATACGGCCAGTATCACGCTGACCCTGGTGCTCAAGAGAATGCCATTTATTCTAGGGCACCTGTGGAGGAACCTTGATGAATCATCCTTTGGTGTATATCCCATGTTTTTTTAGACTGTACACGGCGTATGAAACATGTTGTAGAGAAGTGTCGGTTGGCTGGGTTTTTTTTTTTTTTTTTTTTAAAAATGAAGCCATTGTACTCGATCATTTGGAAGTATTAAGCATATTTAGTGGATCTCACCTGTAATGTGCTTACCTTGTGTACACTCGTTATTTCGTTTTATTTTGTTGTTCTATTGGAAAAATGACGATAAAAACATTAATGGTAATTATAAACTTTGAATTATTAAAATTTCAATATTCTTATTCACAATAAATTATCCTTTATTAATTAGTTTGAGATTTATAATAGGCTTTAGTAAATTTCCAGCTAATACAAATATTCCTAACCATCTCGTGAGTTTTCCAAATGATAGCAAAAAATAACAAGAGATTGGTTTGTGATTCATAGCTAACGTTCATAAATTTTTAGTTAATATTTTAAATAATTTTAAATATATTTAGTAAAATTTTTAAGTGATTTATTTATATATTGATATAAAAAAAATTTCATAAATGACTAGTTTGTAATTCACAATTAACACTTATAAATTTTTAATTAACGTTACAAATAATCACGAGTGTATTTATTTAATTTTTTAAGTGATTTATTTGTATATTAACAATAAAAATCTGAGATTTATAATTGATTCTTATAAATTCTCAACTAATATTATAAATAATTTTAAGTGTATTTAATAAATTTTTTAACTTTTTTTCACCAAAATAAATTTTATAACTGATTATTCACATTTTTAATTGCAAGTAAAGATCATTATTTATTATTAAAATTTTAATAAAGGTTAAGGATCATTTTTGTTTTTTAATTATATGTGAAAGTTTAATGGAGACTTTAAACTCCATTATATATCAATTCTATCTTTAAATTTTAAAAATTCTATCACTTTCCACCCCACTGTTAACTTGCTTAGAGTCAGTAATTTGGGCAGGCTGAACTTATTTGAATCGGATTTAAAATATCCTACTCCTTCTAAAAAGCCATATAGCCAAGCCTGGCATAACACCTTCGGGCTTTGAGTTTATTCGACCTAGCCTGGATACCTGAAATTTTTTAAAAGTATTTTTTTTATTTTTTGAACTAATTTTAATTTTTAAATAATTCTATTAAGTATAAAATATTATCTTAATTTTAAAAGAATAAAATAAAAAATAACTTATAAACTTTATACTTAAGTAGCTCTGTCATTATTTTGTTGTATTATGTATAATTTATTCATGAATGTTTCCTTTATTTGTAAATTAATGTCTTAATTGTTTAAATATTACTATTATTATAGTCATATATACATATTTTATATATTTTAATTATGATTAAATTAATCTCAATTCAATCACAGTTAGACTACTAACTTAAAATTATTATCCTGATTAGTTTAAAGTTTTTAATAACTTTTAAGTAAATTATACTTTTTATTTTTATGAATTTAAAAAAATTGTCATCATTATATTATATAAAAAAATTATTTAATTATGAGTAAAATATTATTTGTTTGAAATCATTTTTCTTTAATTTTTTGTATTGTTTAACTCTTACATATAAGGGATTCTTACTCTATTTTACTCTTAATTTTTAACCAAGTTTAGTATGGACAATAACCAAGTAATTATTTAAGAATATTATTCTATTTATTATGTTTATTTAGTAGTAAGTCAAAAATTTGTATATGCCTAAATTTTATTTTTAAAATTATTTTTAAATTTATTTTTACTTTAAAATTAATTATCTTAATTTATAAAAAATATAAAATTATTTTTTTATACACAAATGATTTATAGGACTCAATTTTTAAAAAACAATTGGGTCTTAAAATATAAAAATTAATATTAAAATATATTTTAAATATTATTTTGAGATATTTTATTAATTAAAAATAATAAAAATATGAAATATAACTATTTTTTATTTTTTTAAAATAACTATATTAAAACACTCATATATATATATATATATATATTTTGGTATAAAAATGATATAAAACTTGAAAAACTAATTAATATTTATCATATTTTATATATTTTAAAAAAAATTATTTTTTATTCAGGTATTCAGGCCAAGCCAGAACCCGATCGGGCTTGGCCTGAATTTTTTTGGGCCTATTCGAGCTGCTTGAATAGGTCCGAACAATAAAAAATTAATATTTTTTTTCAAGCTTGACTCTAAAATTTTTAGGTGAGTTTGGATTGGCCCGACAAATTTAGCCCAAATTATCAACTCTAAACTTGCCTTCCATTACCATCAGCGGGCTTCTTTTTTTTTTTGCTTGACTTGACTTTTTTAATATTTTAATAATAAAATTTAATCGTTGGACTACTTTATAGTTTTTATCATGGTATTGAAACCCAAATCGGACCGGCCGAATCAACCCAGAAATCGATGACCTGGTCCCTTGTCCGGTCTGGGTTTACTCCTAAATCAGTGAGGAAATAAACCGATGTAACCCGATCAATTCAGGTTCAACCCGATATAAATCGGTTAACCTGGTAGGTTGACTGGGTTAACCTGGTTATTATTTTTTCAGACAAAACCTTTAAAACGACATCATTTTGGGGGATCTGTTTTTTAATTTTTGATTTTTTAAAGTGCTGAGTTTAGAAATAAGATAACAAAAAAAAAGTAAAACTAAAGTTAAAAAATGAAAAATTAAAGGTAGAGCACGCTAAGTCCAATCCAGATTTTCAAACAGCATTTAGTTTGGCATGTCATTTGTGTCTCTCCTCTCTCGCCCTAACCTAATCAACATCTCTTCTTTACCTCTATTTCCGTCTCTCTCTCCAACTCTATTTCCGTCTCTTCTCCAACTCTATCTCTGTCTCTGCTATCTCCATCTCTTCTCTAGTTTAGTCTTTGACTCTCTGTCTCTTTTTCAACTCAATCTCCGTCTCTTCTCCATCTCTTCTCTAGACTTTTAAGATTGAAGAGTTGTAATTGTAATGATAGATATTTAAAGTATTGTATTTTATTACTGTTAGGCTTTTGAGTGGTTGGATTTAGTTAAATGTTTTTATAATTAATATCTTTTTATTTAAATTATATTATTTTAATCATGATCGGTTTGCCACCAGTTCAACCCCTGGTTCAACCCTAATTGAACCACTAACCCATGATCCAGTGCCATGATCGGTTCAATGACCGGTCCAGTTTTACGTACCTTGGTTTTTATTACATGTTTTTACACCCCCCCCAAAAATTATTATCTCTTACCTCCTTCGTCTATCTCATCTCCCTCTCTCTCTCTCTCTCATTATCATCATCTGCAACTCATGTAGGCATGGTGAGAGTCCCATTGGCGGTCTATGAGTGCTTCCATTACCTAACTCAACGTGGTGTTCCTGTCAAATATGACCCTTATGACTTTTCTACCTTTCTCATCCTCATTATGCAATGCCAACATGGCAACACCATACTAGAAGCCATCACTGAACCCAAATATGCTCCCCCTTCCTTATTCGCCTCCATCCTTACTCTGCTTTTTACTTAAAAAACAGGGGTGAGCAGCCGAGGGGGTAGGTTGCACAGAATGCTCTGTTTCCAAATGTGGTTCTTTTCTCTTATACATATCTCAGTACGTATGTGATAAATCATTGTGTCTTTGACAATACATGAAAGTGAAAAGTATGAGAATGAATTGTTTTAGGTTCATTGAAGAGGAATTACTCACAAGCAATGATGAATGAATCAATCATGTGACACACAAGACAATGTAGCCTTATAGTGAGTGGGACATAGAGATGATAGAAAGAAAATCAACTGGGTTGTGCTTGAAAGAGAGAGAGCCATTTTTTGAGTTGGACTATGCAGGTTACTACAACAAGAAAGGACATGGAGATAGATGCAGCAAGAGCTTCTATGTAGGAGAGTGTTGTACTTTCAAGTTCATCAAAGCTGTGAGATGACTTGCCTTATTCATTGTGAGGGGCAATAATTTGCTAAAGGACACAGAGATTTGATCTGGAGGGTGTTGCAAGTGCGGCGATCATAGACGTTGATTTGGTAGGAGGAGCCGGCGTAGAGGAGGTCACTGTGGACGGCGAGACATGTAGAGAGATGATGACGCAATTGAAGTTTTCATAAGAGGAGGGAAGCTTCTGAACAAAAGGAACAGAAGAAGAGGGAAGCTTCTGTTGAGAGGTTTACTATGGAGACTGCTAGTAGTAGGATCTCGAGAGGAAGAAAAAGGAGAAGAGGTTGTGTCAGAGGAAGCAATGGATTCATCGGAAGTAGAAGGTTTGGTGGTCATAGAGGAGGAGCCGGTTGAGTGGAGAGTGGCGATGGCGTAGGAGGCGGAGGAGTGAGAATGTAGCTATGAGAGGATCAAAGAAGAGAGAGTGAGAGGGGGTACAGTGAGCTAGGTTGCATAGATACGGTACTAGTAATGGATACGATACGGCATGATACGGGGATACGGTAAATTTTCAAAATTTTAGGATATGGGTACGGCAATTTATAATTTTTGTTAATTTAAATGTAAGTAACATGTCAACTATCAAAATGCATAGCAATCCAAAAAAATACAAAATGTTATCAAATACATCACATTTCATCATCCTCATTTTCCATTACATTATTAGGCTCTCCTATAATTTCTTGCTCTAAAATGGGTTCATCAAATGACAAACTTGCCATCTCAAGGCTACTGACAGCATCAAATAGCTCTATAGTGTCTCCACCAATATCCCACATTCTACTTTGCCTAATGCGATACTTTTCACTCTTCCTTGACAAGAGATGAAGATTAGTATGCACAAAAACTAAGTCTTCAGCTCTTTTAGGAGTGATCTTGTTTCTCTTCAATGAGTGGATAAAGGAGTAAGTGCTCTAATTTCTTTCACAACAAGAGGAAGAGCACGGTTGGCCTAGAAGTTTCAATGCAAGCCTTTGAAGAATAGGGGTGAAAGAACCATAATTTAACCACCACTCTTTAGGTTCTAAATTTCACCTATCTTGCAAGCAATCAAATGATGAATAGAAGTCTAAACTTCTAACAAATTTTGAAAACTCTTGGAAGACTGCCTTTCTCTCCTCATGATCAGTAAAGTACTTATGAAGGCAC